GGAAGAGTGGTGGTGTAAGACCCTTTGTCCAGGGTGGGACACACACACACACACACGCGCACACTGATACATGCATATGAGAGATGATATGAGTGTGCAAGAAATGTGCTTGGCTTGGGGTGAGATCGGGAACGAAGGGTTGGTCAGATGAAAAACAGCAAGCGGCACCCGGCTTGCAGCACGCCAGGCGCTCTGAGAACTTCTTCCAGCTGCCTGACTCGGTGGTTTTGGAGGAGGTATCCTCTGATGAGGAGCTGAAGGTTCTGAAGCGGAAAAGCCTCAGTTGGAGCTGTGTGGGGCTCGACACGGAGTCCTTGCGGGGCGGAAAGTGCGCGCTTTTGCAGGTGGGGACGGGTGCTGTGGCATTGTGTGGAATGAAGTCGTGACAATGTTTGAAGTTCATAAGGTTGTGCGGTTGAAGTATGTGGATCCTCTTAGGTGTCCACCAAGACCACCGCCTTTTTGATCGACCTGCTGGCGGTCAGCAGGGAGCAACTCAGAGACTTCCTAGTACCTTGGCGGGTCGTTGCGCACATTATTTGTTGGCTCTAAAGACAGTTGAGCAGATGCAGTCTGCCCAAGACAATCCAAAACAATTTTCAAAACTATTCTCTGCATCAAAGACGTCTGTGAGACTTGGTTGGGGGGTGCCTTCGTTATGACCGGCTGAAGCCAGGTGCCACTGATGGCAGAGCGGGCCATCACCAAGCTGGGCTTTGGTGCATCGGAGCGGGTGCCACTTAAAAAGGCAGTTTTAAAGGGTTATCCTCGAAACGATGCTATTTGGCTAGCTATCGATCGGTCGATCGATCTATCCATCCATCCATGCATCCATTCATCCATCCATCTAATTACAGGGTATCAATTGGTGATAAATCAATCTTGTTATTTGGGGCGCGTCCTTTGGCCACCCTTGTAGGAGGTGAGGGAGCTCAAGAAGCTGGGTGCAAAGAATGTGGAATCCTTTCATGATATGCAACAGGTCGGAGCCCAGCAGCTTGGCACAGCTTGCCACAGCTTGGCAGATTGATTGTCAAACGTGTGGCACGAGTGGCATTGATCTCCCCACCCGTGGCCCAGCCATGGCTGCTTGAAATCATCCGCCTGGCCGGACTCCGCAGGCACCGCTTGAAGAAGTCTTTGAATGGATCCCTTTCGGAGATGTTTCACGGGCTGAGCTTGTCCACGTTGTCAAAGGAGATCCTGGGAAAGCCTTTAAACAAGGACCCTTTGGCAGGATGGGCGGAACACGTCGTTGAGCTGACACCCCCGGACTCGGACCAGCTAACAATTTTGTGTGGAGTTAGGCCTCCCAAGTCGATGGTCTCACCTGTCCATTAAGGCCTTACTGTATATATTTCATAGCTTTTCTCTACCATGCGTTTTCGCGGAGGAGATGCGGGCGAGCAATTTTGCACGGCGGCCACTGCAGCAGTGGCAAAGATGCTATGCAGCATTGGATGCCTGGATTTTGGTGAAGTGGCCCAGCCGCAAGGAGTGAAGATGGTTGTCACTCAAACGGATGGACCCATGTGGCACAGGAGTCTTTTTGTGGGTGATGTTTTCCAAAGTTGGTTCGGGGGCATTGGAGCCACGGTCATACAGGTTGTCGCTACGTGAGTAACAGCTTGGCTTAGTTGGGTGATTGGAGTCCTGTGGCCAGGATTTGGGATCGATTGAAGTCCGAGCCTGGCAAGAAAAAAAGAGATTGAGCTTCGCTGAGCCGCTGTGCATGTGCAGAACTTGAATCTTGCTTCGGCTGCTTGTGTGGCTGCCTTGCCCAGCTCAAGGGGTTCCAGCGTCGGCGGTGTGCGTGCGTCAGAAAGAAACGGATGATTTGGACAACATGAAAGCGAGCATAGTGCTTGCGCTGGCTGTTGCACAGGACTGCGGTCTAGAACAATGCCCCTCAGGTGCGATTCTGACATGTGGCATTTGGTGCCAGCAGGCCTTGAGTGAAGACTGCCTAATGAACGCCACGTTGATGCCATGTCAGGGAAGCTATTGCAAGACAACCTGCCAACGGTGGTACCGCTCAATGACTGCAGACCTGCGCACGATCCGAGTCACCTGCCAGGAATTTGCGGACTTCGCCTTCTTTTCCAAGGGCGCGGCTGTGTGTGCGGAGGAGTGTTTGCTGCCGGAGATCCGGGCTGAACGCTATCCTTCGCCCACGGGCTACGGCCTGCTGTGTCGTCCAGGGTCTTGTGATGCATCCTCGCAGGCCAGGTATGCCCAGGACCCAGTGGCCATAGAAAAAGGCCTCGCGGCCTTGGAGTGTCCATGCAACTGGTTTGGGTCTGATTGCAAAGATGACTGGGTGCAAGTTCGTCATGTGAGGAAGCAGTGGTTGGGTGATTTTCAGCTCACATTCTTCAGTGTGGACAAGGGTGACTGGAAGAAGATCATGAAAGACTACCGCCCAGGCAGCATATTACGTGTTCAGCACTTGGACCAGAATGGTATCCCACGTGAGCAGCCGTATGCCTTAGCTGGAAAGGATGAAGAGGGCATTTTGAAGGTTTTGACCGGGCCACCACCAGAAGGACTTCATGAGGTTGTAGTGGAGGTTGCCCACGCGGTCAGGCAGCACACACCAGGACCTTGCACGACTCTTTTTGTGAATCCTGCAATCGCGGGCTTTTTCAACGGGCGCTATGAATACCTGTTGGATGCCTTAGGTTCGGTGAAGCAGGTAGCGATCGTTTCTTCAGGTGTTGGATTTTCTGGCGTGAAGGCTGCCATATCTGGACTGCTGCCGACGGGTCTTCAGATGCACATTTTCTACGGCGTTCGAAATGCGAAGGACGTACCGTACCAGGATTTCCTGACCTCACCGCTGGTGGAAGAAAAGGTGAAGCTTACCTTGCTGGTTTCTGGCACCTTGGCGGGAAATGAAAAAACAACAGAAAAACACAAGACTTAGTGTGAAGGCCTCCAACCTAGTAGCGATGGCCTCCTCCCACCTAATGCTACCTTTATACTAACGGTTGGATTCTCCCCTGCATTAGACCTACCACCCACTTGAGATGGTGCTGCATGATACAGGTCAAGGTCCAACATCAGCAGCTGGAAATCTTCAGAATGCCGTGCCGTGACAGAAAGTCCAATTCCGCTCAACACTTCAATAAGGATAGGTTTGTGCAGGGGGCTATACCATTCATCTTAGTCTGCAGAATCATTCAACTATGTAATGTTTTGAGTTTGAGCTGATTGGTTTTGCTGTGCTGATTTGTAACTAGCAGTTTGTTTCTACTTGAGGTTGACAGAGGCCAAATGTTGCTTGCAGCGTCCTGACTGCATGCAGAGGTTGTGAGTGGGTTGTACTTTGTGGGTGGCACACCTCGTCGTTTCAAAGGCCAAAGCCTCTTCAGCGGTGCCCATAGCGCTGCAGCCCCATGTGCCGACCTCCCAGCAAAAAAACCAGACGAAGACATTGGGCAGTGTCCCCAGACGAAGACATCGGGCAGTGTCCAAGTGATGTGTCAGAAAGGTCTGGAAAGATCTATGCGCAGCAAGCGGTGGCGTTGGACTTCCTGGCAGGTGCTGCGAAAAGCCTCGTGAGACAGACATGCTCAGTGAATTAGACAGACAGATCTGTGACATGCTGGCTTGCTTACAGGTGGGTTGGCACGGATCGGAGCCTCGTGCCGCAGCTGTGAATTCTGCTCGCAGATTCGGGGGGAAATTTGTGCCGATGCTACGATTGACCCGCTGTAGAACTCTAAAAACGACACATGCGCCGGTTCATCACTGTGAAGTGAACATCAGTCCACTTGATGCCACCTGTTTTGTGAACGCTGAGGCTTTCGGACACTGCTGTGATCATTTGTGGTCGGTATGAGCTCCTGAGAGACACCCCCACACTGTTGGAGGTGGGGACCTGCGATTCGGCGGGCTGCTGTGGTGAATGCTCCGAAGCGCCACTTGAAATGTGAGCACATCCAGTTCCTTTTTTTGTGGTAATCAGTGGTGAGCCGCTAGTGGCCACTAGTGAAGTGCCGATTTCAATCCCTAGGGGCCTAATGAGCTTGGGCGTGCAGGGAGCAGTGATTTGGGACGAGAAGTTAATAGTGCGCTTGAATCTTGGTGAGGCAGCATGCAAGCTGAGAAGCGACCCTTGGAAGTCAAAGCTGGACACGAAAGCAAGGACACGGGAAGGAGTAGAAGAGCACACACACAGAAATCTCTGACGGTCTGACACACATTGCTTCAGCCCATTTCCTTTTTCTGGTTAGTGGTGGCCAAGGCATCTTGCAAAGCTTTGATCCAGGCATGTCTTTCACTGCACGACATGCAGGGCCTATGTTTGGGTGATCGATGTTTGAGAAGTGATGACCAGTGATCAGTAGCAATTTGCTGACATTTCTTGAGGCCCACGTGTTCACCAACATCTGAGCACGGAGCCATATGGCCATTCCCGGCCTTTGGGCCGCCCATTCCCAGATTGACCTGAGATGCACTGACGACCGTCCTCGAGCCTCCGAGCAGCCGGGCCGAGCTCCGAAAATAGTGTGATCTCAGCGCTGGACGGGGTGGTCAAAGGAACAGTTCAGTTCTTGAAGTGCCAGCTGTGCTTGATCAAGGGCATCCCTTTTCTCCAAAGCGCCTGATCAAACCCGTTTGAGCAGTAGTAGAGGCAATGTTTGATGTGAATCAACCTGACGATTTACGTTTGCCCCACAAAGAACTGGCAGCATCTTGCAAACATGATGCCTCAAGATGGTTTCATTCAAGAAACAGGCCCCCGACCCACACAGCGTGCTTGCTGAACACCCCGAGCCCAATAAAAACCGGGTGCCTCTTGGAGCTGTTCCGGCTGGGGTTCGTCCCACCCATCTTCCGATGACCGGCCAGAACGCGCTCTTCTCGGGTTGCAAAGCCGAACGACGACGCGCCAAGGAGCCTGTTTCGGGGGGTCCTGAAATGCTGAGGGGCGAGGAGTTAGATGGCGAAGTCAGTCAGTCCAATTGTCATGTTTGATCATATGGTCCCTCTTGATGGACCAGTTGATAGGACCAGGACCTTGCCCGGCAAGTTGATGTAGCCAATACGTTACGTGGGCAAGGTGAAAGTGTGTTTGGCATAATGAAGGGTGTCTTTGAAGCGGATGTTTGCTTACTCGACTACCTTCTCAGCAGCGGTTCTACTGACTCAGTCCTCGTTCTTTCCCATCCCATCTTGGCCAACGATGAATCCGTGTCGCAGCAGCCAGGAATACATGAAATGGCTCTTCGATCAGCTTGAGGGTCCTGTGTATGTGCTCTGGCAAAGAAAGAGCACCGAAGACTCGCAAAGACTGATCTGGCCAGTCTTCGGATTGCCCCCACTTGGGCAAATGAGGGGGCTTGGTGTGGAATCATACTCGTAGCACGTTGACTTTGTTGAACCATGCCTTTTTGATGTGGAAGTGCAGCTTTTGGAGTCTGCTGGCATATCGCCACTTTGCGAGACTGAGCAAAGGTCGATGGCTGGGAAGACCGTGATGACATTACTGTCGTGGTGCGGGGCCAAGCGTACCTGTACAAGAGCCCAGCAGGATCCAGCAGGTCTAGCATGGGCTTAAAATCTTGCTTTGTTTGGTCAGGGTTAACATTCGACTTGTTTCGACTTTCTTTAACTGTACGAGGTTTCTATGGGTTTCACTTGTAGGACTGGCATTAGCATCATTGGCGTTAGAGAATATGCAGTCAGCCTGTCAGCCACCTTGAAAGAATTAGGAAACACATGTCTTACTTGCCGATCGGTTGGTCACATGTGAAGGTTGCCCATCATCCGTCAATCAGTTCCCGGCGTTACACTCATGGGGTTCCTCCATTCCGCCAGGGTTCCCACCCAAAAAGACCCAATGCTGAGCTTCTGGGAAGATACCCTTGGGACCTCGTGCTGCGGCTCTTGTGGCTTTGGAAGCAGGCTGTGGCACAAGCAGTTTGCACTTGACGTGTTTTCAGTGTCCTCGCATCATGATGCCGTTCGCCTTCTTCCCCCTGTGCTGGGGGAAGCTAGAGGATCCCCTTGTCCAGCGCGTCACGTGTCTAGCCAGAACTGCGATCATCATCGCCTCCATCAGATTGGTGGCGGGGATGTGTATAAGTCCGGGCAGGCTGAGCCCAGACAATCAGGAGCCCATGGCTGTACTAGAGATGTTAGGCAATCCGATGCTCCGATTGGGGGTGTCATTTCCAGTCTTCCTGCTTGCGCTGATCGTACCGTGTTGTGGCTACCTGGGAGCACACAGAAAGCAAAGAACTTGCTGCACATGCTGCTTTGCCTGGTGTAACTGCTGCACTGGCTTCATACAGGTTTTGGTGGTACTCCTTTGCGGCCTCGGCATTGTTACAATGTCGATACTTACCGTGCACTGCAAACATGGGTTGACCAAGGAAGCACCTGTCCAGGATGCATGCCTGAATGTAATGTACAGCTGCAAGTACAGGAAGAATCAGTTTGATCCCACAACATATGACAGATGCTACGAGCACATGTTTGGGCATCTCCCGCTTGCAATTGGTTTCTTCTCAGTGCTTCTGGCACTTCATAGCTTCATTGGCTGCATTGCATGTGCAAGTTTCTGGTGGGGCCGCAAGCTATACAGCTCCAGCACGGAGAAGGAGATGGGATCTGTTGTGGTTTGAATCTCCTTGAAGGGCTCATGTTCAGGGTCCAACTGTCACAACTTGAAGGGCCAATGTGTCCCTTGTGTCCCCACTTTGACCCACGTTCCTTGTAAAGAAGGCCACTTGCCGGCCTTGTCATGTGGGTTGGGGAGTTCCAGCGGCGATGATGGCTGCACAGTTTGAAAAGATCGCGCGTGCGGCAGGCGAGGAGAGGTCATGGTAGGTCTACAGATGTGAAGTGTCTCCGCATTGACCGAAGGGAAACGCGGGCCGTCGGGGGGGAACATTCCCTACTCTTTCGCCAGGAAGACATGTCCCTTGTGGGACGGGGGAGTCCGAATTTTTGCCGTGGGCACCGGTTGTGGCGAGGATGTGCCGCAAGACTGCATTGGCTATGTGACCGGGAACCGGAGAGCAGCTCTCGGTGGAATTGAGGAGGTGCGAGAGATCTCTCAGCGGGTAGGACAGAGGTGACATGGGGTGGGCTGGACACCACCACTCAGAAGCATCAAAAAGGATAAAACCTGGCTGACACGTGTGCAAAACCTACCTGGCTGGTACCATTTGGGGTTTTAGTTTTACTCCTCACTTTTTGGCGTGGAGATGGCTGAGATGTACTGAGCTTTTTGGGTGGGGGTGTTGGGTGGCAAGGCTTGGGGCCACGCCCAACTGATTGGCACGGATTTGCCCAGAGTTGCGGGGTCATGCGGGGTCTGGTGTTTCTACCTTCAGAGGCCTATCTATGGTCTATACAGTATGTGAGGCTGAAACTGTACCCGCATTGCTTTTGGATGGCAGGAATGGGGAACGCTGATGTTCTTCATGAACAAGGACCTGTGTCCCATTTTGGTCGGCCAACTGCGTGCATGCCAGTTGCAACTGCTCCTAGGATGGCCAAAGCAAAGGGACTTCCAGAGGCTTGGGATGTGTCAATGATGCCCATAGGTCGGAAAAGGGTGATCGATGCTAACATCTCCAATCTTCCTGGTCAATTGTCCACATAGTCTAGATCCTCTGTGGCAAACAGTCCTTCTGGTTTGTTTTGGCTTCTCGTGGTTTGACCGAACTTTTTCTGCAGAAACCCATCCATGAGCCGTTGCTGCGACAAGCTGGAGGTCGCGGGGGCTCCGAGCAGCTGGCGATTTTCGGGAATCAACGCGCCCGACGAGGAGCTGAACTCAAGGCGCAGCGTTGTTGGGACCATGGGACATGGGGTACAGCATGGTACAGCTTGCAGATCTTGTGGGGTCAGGATGGGTCAGGTCTCCAAGCTCACCTGATAAATCACTAGGAGACTGGATCGAGAGATTCTGTGTCTAAGGTCGGGTTCTGTCACCTGACCAGGTGACACTTGTGAACAAGGAGCGCAATACAGCGACAAGCCATGACAAACCTAATATATATATATATATATTCACATTTATACAACAGTCTATAAATACACGGTATCTATGAGATGTTTGTGTAAATCTGCGAGGATCTTATTCGGCCGGCCGATGTTTTTGCCCACGCGGGCACGCTTCTTGACTTCCAGGTCATGAGCGCCGTGGAGACGAAAGCGCCGGGCACCTTCACCCGGGGCGTCCGCGAGAAGTTCAGCGATGAGAAGGCCGAAAAGCGGCGGAAACAGCGAAACGCCAAGAGGTTTTGGAAGCACCGGGGAATCTGTTTGCTGCGCCCCGGGTTGATTGGGGTGAGATAGAGATTGGATTCTATTCGGTTCTCTCTACTTAGTAGCAGTTTGACAACTGCTAGCCCATTCAAGCTGGAGATGTTGAATCATTGAACCTCTTTCGCTGGGCGCTCACTGCTTGCAACTCTATCGCTGCCCCCTGCGAGAGAACGTCAAAGACCCGGGATCATGGAATATAGGCGTGAAGTCACTGTATAGCAGTATCTCTGATCTTGGCCACATGCCGCCCGCCACTACTAGCACATGTTGACCAATGCATGCTTGTGAAAAGAACGGAAGGTGTGTGGCTTCGGTTCAGATGCCTTTCTCCAAAAAAACACTCAGGCTCAAGTTCAATCATTCAGGACCTGCCTTGGGTTACCTTGAGTGTACCTTGGGTTCTCCACGTGCCCAGGAACAGTCCAGAAACCATCACAAGCATGTAACACCTGTGGAGTTTTGGGTTTGGTTCCTCTCTGCTTTCCACTTCTCCAAGGTGACGGGATCCCCCGTCCCGACTGTACCACACTGGCCTACCGCAGTGCACCAGCTTCCTTCGACCAAAAAACTCAGGGCTTCGCCACGGACCGGATGATCTTCCGCGACGACGAGCTGAGCTATGCCCTAGGCCGTGAGAGACGACGTCGTCTAAGACTAAGACGTGCGATCTCTGGTCGCCCTGGCACGATGGGGCTGGGACGGCTGGGATTTGTTACCTTTTTTTTGGGTTGCAGGAAAAGAAGGCCCTCAGCTCAGTTGGCTATCCTTACCGGGTAGCCTGGAACATGGCATTTTCTACTCTTTTCTAAATTATGCACCTCTTCCCAGATTTGGAGATCGGCCACTCAGGATCTACCAGAAAGAAGCTGGCCTTAGCGGGACACGTGCCTTAGAAGCGCTTGTGGGCTCGTGATTCGAATTCTCTCTCTCTCTCTATAACTTAACTAAATTTAGATCAATTCTAATTCTAATTCTATTGCATTATTATTTCTAACAGCTTCTTGTTCCAAGTAGTAAGGCCAGGAGCCCCTAGTGGCGTCCTTGCTCAAAGCCACCGGGTGTCAGGTGATTCTGGAGTACGTGGGTCATGTCTGTTTCATGGCCGGAACGCTGAAGGCAGGGGGATCAGGGAGGAAAAGACTGCTGCCACGATGCTGCGGGGTTTCAGATGCCGCTTGACAGTGGTGTCAAGGAACGAAAACGGGTGAAGCAGTTCATTGACTGGTTGCTGGCCCAGCGTGCGCACCTCACCTTTGTAGCAGTTTTCGGAGCATTGTTCAAGTAACTTTGCTTTCCTTGTTTTGTCCTGAGGACGTGGTAGTGTCACAGTGAAGGATGTAGCAGACCGCGATGCAGCAAGCTTAGAGAAGAAGAACCCGTTTTGTTGAACCTTGAAGAGTTCCGAAAGGAAGAGTGTGCAGTGAATGTGCCGTTTGGTTTTACCCTTGGTTGCTACAAACTTGTCAGGACTGTACGGAAATGCATATCCCAGACAACTGCAAAGGCTGGGTTACAGGGCCCCGACCTTAGCAAACATGACCGCGCTATGATGTCGGCATTCAGTGGGAATCTTCACTAAAAGCCCCAATAAGAGCCATTCTCCCACACTGGACAGTTGTCAATGGCTTGATATTTTGAAAGGATTTGGACAACGCCTGTTTTGGCACGTGCTCGATCATATTTCGTTTTAACGCACGGACTCCACCCAGATTTGACTTCCCTGTTGCCGCCTGTTGCCTTTGGCTTGTAGCCGCGGGCTGGGCAGTTGACTTGGCCAGCGACATGGGAGTGACTCGGCGGAGGTTGATTCAAACACATTGAGGTCATCCGGGGTTGCTCTTGAGACCCGATGAGTCGTGCCCAAAGCTAGGAGCGCCTAGTAGCATCCTTGCTCCTAGTAGTACAGCCAGGAGCCCCTAGTAGCGTTCTTGCTCCTAGTAGTAAGATGTAGCTGCATATCCACATCCACACCTCCACTTCTCCATACTACACCAGCTTTACTCAAATGCGTCGGAATGCGCTGAGGAAAACTATGAGGTGTGGGGCCAATTCAAATGGGGCCCAGGAGGCCAATGTCCTGAAGGTCTGGCCGGAAAAACAGCAACTTGGCGGCTTGCATGGTGCTAGCTTTGCATACGCATCGACAGCAGGATTCCCAATGGAACCATATTTTTGTGGATTCTTTGTGCAGCCATTTGTGGGATGTATTTTCCAGCAGTGTTTGCTTTTGCTCCTGCTTTTGCTTTTGATTCTGCTTTTCCTTTTTGCTTTTGCGCCTCGAACGCTACCTTGTCACACATCCTTTGACTCCTATCGTTGCAAACGATTGAGTGTGTATGGCTGCACCCGTGGGTAGTCTTTTGTTTCTATTTTTTTCAGGAGGAGGGGCCATTTCAATGCAGCAATGCAGCATATTTTGTTTAAGTCACCCAAGGGCATAATTTAGAGGAGTCAGGAGCTGTTCCAAGGCAGCATACCTTTTGTGAGCCGCCCGCAGTTTGTTAGAATTCCGGTGTAGCATACATTTTGTGAGCCACCCGAGATCGCCCGAGGGTTAAAATTTAGAGGAAGAAGGAACCATTCCAACTTAGCAGAGCCGTGAGCCACCTGACCATAAATTGTGAGGAAGGGCACACTCCAGTGTAGCAGCATGCCTTCTGTGAGTCAGCCGAGGGCACATGCCCGAAAAAAGAAGTAAAAACAGATCTCAAATCAAACCAAAAGAAACCCTAAGTTCCTCTCTCCTTACCTTCTCCTTTGGCTTGTCGTCCTCTCTCTCTCTCTCCGCTCTTCCCCTCTCCCCTTGTCCCTCTCTCTCTCTCTTGCTCCCATTCCCTCTCCCCTTCTCTTTGCTCCTCCTCCCTCCCTCGCTCCCTCCCTTCCTTTCCATATCTTTCTGCTGCCCCTTCTGCTTCTATTTCACTTCCGAAAAAGGATCCCACAAATGACCGGAAAAAAAAACACGTCCACAAAATTGCTCGACCCATTCCCAATGTCCTAGGGTTCGTGCTAAGAGATGAGAGGCAAACCCAGAAGCACCAAGAATATCAATAGACCGAATAGACTACCTGATCTTCCAAGCAATTGCCGAGTTAGCGCTGGCCCAGGTTGCATTGAAATGTGAGGCACGGATGTTTGCACTTCCAGCCTTGCTTTGATATCAGCTAGGCATTGGGGAAACTCGGGGGAGTCAGACATGTTCTGTTGGACAGGCTCCTGAGCAGGGGGTGTAAATGGTGTAAAGCCAATCAACGAGACCACACCTTGCTCCACAGGGGGACGTCTTCAATATCTCCGGAGCTGGTGCTTGGCTCTCAAGCCGATTGCGCAGCCAGTTGCTGGAGAAGGGATGTGAGGAGGCGATTGAGATTCCGTGCCTCGGTGAGATTCCCGGAACGTCCAAAAACGCCGGGCCTGGATGCTTCGTATCTCGAGAAAGAAGATGATGGAGAATCACCAGAATCATCAGAATCCATATAGGCGAATGGAGCTTGGCCCCCAAAATTTTTGCAGCTCTGGGCCAGAACTAGTCTGCAGTTTTGGACGCCCGCGCTCAGGATGAAGAAGGCGACGGCTGCCAAGATTGTGGAATACTTGAAGCACCACGAAGAACATGAATGCAGCGAAATCCTCACGCCCCTTGCAGGTGACAACTTGCAGGAGCTGAATGATGTCTTGCCCACCTTTCAGGGTCCTTTCAGGGTCCCACATCCCACAGGCAGTTCCTTAATGGAAACCATGGGAAACCGACCATACATCGATGGAGAACATTTCGCATCACTTACAGAAGCACTTCTTCTATCCACCTGTGGGCCCTCCATCCACTCCTTTCTAAGCCCACGCAGCCGCATGTTCTTTTCCCGACTCTTGGGCATTCTCGGGCACTCGAATACCACAGGACTGCGGGGCTTCCCGCTGGGACTCCAGCTTTGTGAATGTGGACCGGGAGTTGTTGTTTGACCTCACCGTGGCTGCCAGCTATTTGGATATTGCCTCGACCTGAGAGGATGAAGCTTGGAGAACCCCAAATCTCTTGCCGTAGGTGGACAAAAAGAGCGCTGAATCGAACAGAAAGAAAGCGCCAACTGTTGCGCCCGCTCAGGCCAGCCTATGGCTCCTGCTGAGCGCCAAAGCGGCGCTGATGACCAACAACAAGAGCGCTGAGAAGCTGCGAAAGGAGTTCAGCATGCTCAGCGACTTTCCAGCTGGAGAGGAGGCCAAACTCAGACAGGCCCGCCTCTGAAAGAATTTCTTCTTTAACACATCTGTATTTTCTTGGGTGTGGTGTGGCCCACAGGTGGACTTGGGTTGTCTTGTTGGGACTCTTTGGCGGTCTTGGGGTGGAAAAATGGCAGGACTATGCCGCATCTCGGAAGAACCACGGCCACGCGCCCGACCCAGACTTATCGCAGCTGGCGGCCACATCAGTGGTACGGAGCGGGGTGCGGGCCAGTGAATACAAGGTGGGCATCAAGCAGTGGCCTGGTCGAAGAAGGGGCGTGGAGGGTTGATCCCTGTGATGGCTGGGCGGGGGTTGTCAAGGTAGGTCTTGAGTAGATAAATGCATGTGTTAGCACATGCATTGTGATGACTTGAAGATACTTGAAGTGTTGCAGATTGAATCGACATCGACTTATGCGAGGCCTTCCGAGTAGACCCAAGGCCCCGACCTGTGGTCCTGTCGGGCCTTTGTATCCGAGGTTGACCGATGGATCTGAGGATGCCTCCGCCCACCTGAGGAGCTGGCGCCATGCCATGTGGAGGGCAGCTGTCTTGGATGATTGGAACCTCTTGGCCAATGCTCCGGAGCAGGTGAAGGGCGACCGTGACCTGGTAAAGAGTGCCATCCTGACAAGCCAAGGTGCTGCTTTGAAGTATATATCCTCCGATTTGAAGGCTGATCAGACCATCGTCTTAGATGCCATCAAGTATTCGGGCAAGGTTTTTGCAGATGCAGCCCCAGACCTGCGCAACGACAAAGACTTCCTGTTGAAGGCTCTGAGTGTCCATGGGGGTGCCATGTGCGGTGCTCCAGATTCGATGCGCAGTGACAAAGCATTCCTGCTTGAAGCCGCGAAGGCTGGCAAGGGCGCAGCCATGCAGGGAGCTAGCTTAGCTTTGCGTGAGGATCGCAACTTCGTCTTGGAGATGGCAGTGCATGATGCTGAGGCATACCGCTATGCATCAGAGGACCTCCTGAACGATAAGGACTTCGCAGTGGCTGTTGCCAAACGAAATGGAAAGGCCCTGAAGTTCATGCTGTCCATTTTCAAGGCCGACCCAGATGTTGTGCGGGCAGCCATTTCCAGAGATCCGCAGGCTGCTCAATTTGCCCACGCATCCAGGCGAGCAGAGCTGGGCATCATCCAAGAATCTATCCATGGAGAAGTGCAGCTGAAGGAAGAGCTGCAGAGTCAATTGAAGGCCGCACAGGACGAGGCGGCATCAGTCACAACTCTGGCCGTCGCAGGCCCACGGCAAATTCCGGTGCAAGCGCTGCCAAGCAGGCAGCAGTACACCTCTCTGCGGTTGCAAAAGTGTGTGTACTTCACGGCCGCTAGCACAATGACGGCCAACATCGGTCAAGCCAACTATGTGGCATCCAATGCCTACATGGATAGACTTCCTCAGTTTCAGAGACCAGAGGTGGATGCCGTTGGCTTGATGTGGGGCGCCGTGGGTGGAATTGGTATGCGTTGGAAAGCCTTCGCATCAGAAGACTTTCTGAATGATGTTCCGGATGCGCTGATGAACATCCAGGAGTGTGGGAAAGTGCTCTACTGCGCCTCTATCTTGCAGAATCCGCCGGAGTGGTTTTGTGCCCAGAAGTTTGCAGAAGATGTGCGGAAGGGTTACCTCACCCCCACCGCTGGCGTCATCAAGCTGGAGCAAGAAGTGGTCTCAGCCGCAGCTGAGCAGAAACTTCCAGATGAAATGGCCTTGCAGGGTTTGCCAGATGTTGACCGGCGGCCCATTCCAGGGAACTTTGCTGATGCTCCTTTAGGTGGTTGGCCCAGCTTGCTCTCAGAGGGAGCCAAGGTACGGCTTACAGGTACTCGTGCCAAGAATGGCATCACAGGAACCTTGCTGCACAGATTTGAGGATGGCAAGTGGAAGGTTCAGTTGGATGATGGCTCTGGAAGTGCGCTGCTGAGACCCAACCATTTCGAGATTCTTGAGCATCTTCAAGCCCCAGTGCATCCCAAGACTCATCGGCACAACACACCGGAATTGGAAGCCTTCAATACACAAGTGGCCGCTGAGCGGCAGTGGAAGATTGAAGAGAAGAGGGCCAAGCTGAAGGAGAAGATCGCCGCTAAGCGGCAGGCGATTCTTTCTGCCGCGGCGGCTTAGATGAAGTCTTCAGCGGAGTCGCCTCGAGTAGCCACAGGATATGAATTGATGCCGCCTGTTTCGGCAGGGTGGATTTCACAAAGTGGAACCAAAGGGTCTCTTCCAACGCTTCATGCAGTGATTGGACTGAAAAGCCTTTGCAGATGTTTGTGTTGTATTGAGATGCTTTAGGAGCTGCCGAACAATCCCAAAACAACTCTAGCAATTGAGTTGCTATCCAAACGTCAATTTAGGCCTGGCAAGTAAACATGACTCAATGACATCTGCATCCACCTCTCTCCTGTGCTTTCCATCTCTCTCTGACGTAGCCATCTCGGCTGGAACGACGTACGACTCTCGCGGCGCCCGGCCGGGTGAGTGAGGCCGATGGCCGTGGCAGCTCGATGGGGAAAATCACGGGAAAAGGTCATGTGACGTTTCAGACATGCATTGATCAAGAATCCAGTGAATCCAGTGGCTTTTTTTTTCCTGATCTTTCTTGATTCGTGGGACACGACGCTCAGGAAACCTATGAGGTCTTCGGGCAGATGAAAATGGGCCCTGCCGGGGGCTGCCCGGCAGAGCTCCACGGAAAGAAGGCGCGAATCAAGTGCTCCGAGGGCGACATCTTCGAGCTGCCCGCGGATGCGGTCGCCCTATCATTGCGAGCACGCAAGGATCTACTCGAGAAGGGCTGTGACCAAGAGCTGGACTACCCGCTCCTTGGTTTGTCCTTGAGTTATATATATATATATATGCCGCTTGTTGTTCTGTTCTTGTGCTTTTGGTTCTGTTCTTGTTGCGGATCTTCATGATCTGCAATCCAAGGATTAAGAAGTCAGTCATGGCCAAGTTGTCGGAGTACCTGAAACACCACAAAGAGCATGCCTGCAGTGAAATTCGAACGCCGCTTGTGAGTGACAACTTGGTGGACTGTGGTGCCAGCAGATGGGATGCTAGTTTCGTGAATGTTGACAAAGAGACGCTCTTTGATCTCACTGTGGCAGCTACATATCTTGACATCCCTGGCCTGTGGTTTCTCCTGAGTGCTAGGGCTGCGGTCATCACCAACAACAAGACAGCAGACAAGCTGCGCAAAGAGTTTAGCATGGCCAACGATTTCCCAGCAGCAGAGGAAGCAGAGCTTAGACGGGAGTATGCGGCAGCCTTCAAGTTACCAGATACTACGGATCTGTCGCAACTGGCTGCATCATCAGTGATTCGCAGCGGTGTCAAGGCTGCAGAGTACAAGTCAGGTCTTCAACCGCTGGCCGAACCCTCCAGTGAAACATCTTCTGAAATGACTTTGAAGAGCTGGCGCCATGCCATGTGGAGGGCAGCTGTCTTGGATGATTGGAAGCTCTTGGCCAATGCTCCGGAGCAGGTGAAGGGCGACCGTGACCTGGTAAAGAGTGCCATCCTGACAAGCCAGGGCGCTGCTTTGAAGTATGCCGCCTCTGAATTGAAGGCTGACCAGGCACTGGTCCTGGATGCCACCAAATACTCAGGCATGGCTTTTGCAGATGCAGCTCCAGAGCTGCGCAACGACAAAAGCTTCCTTTTGAAGGCTGTGGGCGCTCATGGTGGTGCTATGTCCGGTGCTCCAGATTCGATGCGCAGTGACAAAGCATTCCTGCTAGAAGCAGCAAAGGCTGGCAAGGGTGCAGCCATGCAGGGAGCTAGCTTAGCTTTGCGTGAGGATCGCAACTTCGTCTTGGAGATGGCAGTGCATGATGCTGAGGCATACCGCTATGCATCAGAGGACCTCCTGAACGATAAGGACTTCGCAGTGGCTGTTGCCAAACGAAATGGAAAGGCCCTGAAGTTCATGTTGCCCATTTTCAAGGCCGACCCAGATGTTGTGCGGGCAGCCATTTCCAGAGATCCGCAGGCTGCTCAATTTGCCCATGCAGCGAGACGAGCAGAGCTGGGCATGACCCAGGAGTCAATCATGGGAGAAGTGCAGCTGAAGGAAGAGTTGCAGAGTCAATTGAAGGCCGCACAGGACGAGGCTTCATCAACTACAGCTCTGGCAATCGCAGCTGGCCCAAGACAGGTACCAGTACAGGCAATCTCAGGTGGAATGCATGCAACCTGCATGAGGTTGCAGAAAACCGTTTACTTCACAGCTATGAGCACTATGACGGCCAACATGGGCCAGGCCAACTACATTGCCTCGAATGCCTACATGGACAAGATCCCTGCATATGAGCGGCCAGAGGTAGATGCAGTGGGTTTGATGTGGGGTGCTGTGGGCGGAATCGGCATGCGTTGGAAAGCCTTCGCCTCCGAAGATGTGCTCAACAAGACTCCCGAGGCTCTACTCACCATCCCCGACTCCAGCAAGGTCCTCCACGTGGCCTGCTGCACCATGTTTCCCCCTGAATGGTTCTCGGCCTCCCACTTCGATGAAATGACCCGCGGCTACTACCTCTCCCCCACCGCTGGGCAAATCAAGCTAGAGCTCAGTGAAGCGGCAGCCCAATCATGGGAGAAGCAAGTGAATCAAGGGGACATGGACAAGAAAGCGCTTGAGGACTTGCCGACCATTGACAGACGTCCAGTGCCCAACAACTTCGCCAATGCCCCGCTGGGCGGCTGGCCTAGCTTGGTCACCTCGAGCCCAGCGGTGACCATGTCCATGCCCTTGCAGAAGGGATCCAAAGTCCGTTTGACCGGACTCCGTGCCAAGAACGGTGTCACTGGCATCTTGATTCAGCAGTTTGGTGATGGGAAGTGGAAGGTGAAGCTGGACGACGGTTCAGGCGCGCTCATCAGCATTTCTTGAATGTGGGCCCGATTAGAAACAGGAAACAGTCCTGGGCTAGTTTGTAGAACCATATGGCCAGAGCGACACTCTGTGGACCCTAGTGACTCCAATGTAGACTCATGATTCCTCTTCAGCTCATGATTTGTTGAGCGTCCGAGTTGCCCATCATGGCTGTGTGCCCTGCTTCAGGCAATGCCTTGCTGCGCCCAGGCTTCTTTGAGGCCATTTAAGTGAGGTGAATAGGATCTTCCGAAACAGATCGTAGTGACAGGCAGCTATCATCCGCCGTGAAAAAGTAAAAGATGGACTTGGCCAACTTGACCATTGCTGAGGGACGCAATTGTGGAACATATGGCTGTTGGTGGTTCTTTCCAAGATCCCTCTGCCGAGGAACCGCGGCAGCGAGCTCCGCCGTGTCGAGCAAGAGACCGGGACGTGCGCATCTGTGTACTTTGAGGGGGAAGACGGGGACAGAGAAAGCGACTGCAAGTCTCCATGTGTATACAGTCCTGCTTCAACCATTTGAGGGGGCGTTTCCTTGAACGACTGGGGGTTTGTCGGCGTGAGTTGTTTCCTGCTGCAGTACTCAGTCCAAGAATCTTAGGTAGAACTCAACAACAGCTCACTTTCACACGACCTGCTCATCTTCGAGGGACTTCTCAGCAACGCTGAGCCCCTCCGTCTTGCCCAACAGCGCAAGTCCACTGCTGCCGCCCGATCGATGCACCCGACCCGTCGGGCCGTCGGGCCCGATGCGCCAGGTTCATGTTCATGGCGCTCGATTCGCGCGGAGAGGAGACTCATGGAGACTCCTTGCGCCATGTGGAGCAAGAAGTGCTCCGTTCGTAGCGTCCTTGTTCCTAGTAGTAAGGCCAGGAGCCCCTAGTAGCGTTCTTGTTACTACTAGTAAAGCACTTGTTACTAGAAGCGATGCACTTGTTACTAGTAGCGTCCTTGTTCCTAGTAGTAAGGCCAGGAGTGGGAGAAGAAGCATCCTTCTCCGGTGAACACGTTGCAATCGGGTCATCCACTCGACACTCCTACACGACCTGAGGGATCGGGATTTGGGCAATCTTGGTGCATTGGCATTCTTCTTGTTGCATTTGGCCCATGTTTGTCTACCTGTCTACCAAATTTTGGACGGCAAGGCTCATGGCAGTTTGTGCTGTGTGCCAGCTGTAGTTTAGAGGGGGAGGTTTCTCCGCACCACTCCTTTGACTCAATCGGCAGGAGCGTCTTCTAATCTTTGGGGCCAATGCAGGCGCAGTGTCATTTCCACTTGTGCAAATCGGGTCTTCCTTGCCCTCAGACATGCTGCTTTGGCAACTAAGGCGGCAAGACAGAGAATGGTGGTCGCATGCATGCCGAACGCCTTGTCAATGATATGGTCCAGGACTGCCCAATAGGGGATCAAGGTGACAATACCAAGAACTTTAGTTGGTCTTTCAAATCTTTCCATGTCTTTGCCTTCGTGCAATTTGTTGTTCACCTCGTGCTTCGAGTGATCCAAATCCCAGGGGTGCCGCGAGAGCAACTCTTTCTGATTGGCGGTTCGTGGGATTTGGGGCTAGGAGAAGCTTCGGAATGATGACCGTCACTTGGCATCGAGCTGCACTGGGTGGGCCGAGAAATGCTTCTGGCAGCCCCTTGACGCGCGGAATCTTTTGCTGTGGGGTATCCGAGATCCAATTTTCCAAGGGGCATCGTGCGTGCTAGAAATCGCAACCGGAAGTCTCGCCCCCAAATGCACTTGTTTCTAATGGCTTCTTGTTACTACTAGTAAGGCACTTGTTACTAGAAGCGATGCACTTGTTCCTAATAGCTTCTTGTTACTACTAGTAAGGCACCTGTTACTACTAGCGTGGGAAATCGCAACCGGAAGTCTCGCCCCCAAATGCACTTACTGTGGTCCAACTTTTGATTGACATCGACTTTTTACTGACACATTGCTCCTCAACGAACATGACTAGTGACGAGTTCATATGATTGTGGGGTCCACACAACACATTTAGAATGTAGTGATCGGCAACAATCTCTCAGTAATTCTCAGTATATTGATCCGCATCCAACATGTTTTGTTTAAACATTTTGTGGGATCCTCCCAATGAAGGGGGCCTTAAGCCCCCAAGAGAGGCTTGTCACTTGGGTGCCTTCCTTTGCAGACACTGCCCAGGCCGTGGTGGCGGTGGCCGAGACAGCCGCAGTCGAAGCCGATCTCGCCGGTCCTCACGTCGCAGGCGGAGCACCGCCCAGATCCTGTTTGGTATAAGGAGGAAACGATGTTTGAAGAAATCGGAGCCCAATCAACTTAAAGAGCCTGATTCACCTGATCTCATCTTTTGAGGCGAAATCGCCATCACGATGCTTTGTGGAGTGTGGGTATCCTGACCAGGTCAAGATCTCGAGGTAGAGATAGCCGAAGCAGGCCGCCCAACAGTCAGTCGGGTGGGGGCCAGGCTGGCCAGAGGCATTGCAGGGCTGCAGCATCTCGCGGGGCTGTGAGTGACCTCAAAAGCACCACGACTCACGACCTTAGGTTTTTGTGCAGCATATTGCAGCATTCTAGGGTTTGGTCTTAGCCTTGTAGTATGTTTTCATTCATGCTAGCCAGAGATGCCATTGACAAGTCAGGAGCCGCCGTCGGTGACGCCAGCATCCCAGATGCCGGACGATGATGGTGTTCTGAGAACCCAGGTCATGACACTCGCAGAGCGGCTCCCACCCCACCAGGGTCATTTGGTTCAATTCGGACTTTCATTGAAGCCAATTTTCTCTTGAATGGATCGTTTGACATCCTCCATTCTCAGCATGTGGCGGTGATGTTGCTTACTTCGGTGTCGCAGTCTCTGGCTCTGGACGATCCCGTCCAACCGTGCCAGCTAACCATGCCACTCGGAAGCATGGGATGGAAGTTGCGAGGCTACCCATCTGCACACCTTGAGCCTTCTTTTTTGGAAGCCCTTCTGTGTGCATCAACGGGTTTACATGCTGCCGTCGAGGTCTGGCTTTGATTATTCCAAATGGGACCGACTGGAAATCAGCGATGACGAGGAGATAAGATAGTACTCAGCTGCAGCATTTGGGGACTTGAATTGCCTACGCCCGGGGTTGAACATTTGCGGAAGTAGTATATAAATCGAGTAGAGCAAGGTTTAGATGGACGGTGACACATCCAATACCACTCGCAAAGCCAGCATCTCGCTCCAATCCTTTTTCACACCTTCAGGACACGTTCCATCCCAACCTTGACAAGGGCCTCAACATCCGAGTGAATCGCATCACTCGCGAACGGAAAGAGGATGAGATCGATGACGAAGCCGGGCTGAATCGTTCTACCGTCAGAATGATCCCATGGCCACCTGTTCCGGCTCCCAGCTTGCAGCTGGAACAACGGAAGTCTTTTGCAGCCAATCGGAAGAAGAATAGGGGGGATACGTTTTCACAGGAAGTAGCATATCTTCACAGCATTTCCACGTGGCAAAAGACTTTGAGGAAGTGAAGAAGCTTACTGCGGAAGGTGAGCTGGAGATCCTTGGCCTAATCAAGCCACGATTTCTGGGTTCCCACAAGTGGTTTCTTTGAGGTTGGGGTTCACCTTGTTTCAATGGTGCATATGATGTCGTATGATATGTATGTGCAGTTGGTGGGACAGGGTCTTCTAGGGACAGTGGACTTTCAGTGCAGAGTTCAAAATGCCTGGTGTCTAATAGATACACACACCCAGGGACAGGGAGACTTCTTTCCTCTACCGTCGGCTCAATGATTCTTGACGTGCGTTCGAGAGCTTTTTTGAGTCTCACGAGGACGTTGCGGTTGACCCATGTTGTACGTGGGATTTGTTGGTATGGGTCTCTGATTAGGATTTGAGCCACTCCCAGCATCCAGCAGTTTTGCAGTTGCGGTGGAGAAATCAGAAGCATCCAGCTTCCCAAACCGGTTTTACAACTCCTTTTTTAATCTCCTTTTCCTTCCTTATATCATCCCGGTGTTTCTCACCTCTCAGGGGTGAGACTTGAGACCCTCTCCTCCCGGAGGAAGGCTGCAAAGCTGGAAGCCCGGAGGCCGCTCCATGTGGGCAATGTCTGCCATATCGCTGAGGAGTCGAGACAACATCGGCAGATTCGTTTTAGTGGATGCAACGGACTGATTCGTTTCATTTCTTCGATGATTCTTTCACATCCAAATTCTGTATGGGGGTGCAAGTCCAGGGTGGCTCCAAGGCGAATAAGAACCCCAATGTCGCAAGGTGTAGGTTTGCGTCATTCTCCATTTGGTGTTGTGCCTCTCGTCCTTACTCGACGAGTGATGACCAGTGGGAATAGCATAGACGTGCCCAGACCTTGAGAACCAATCATGAGAAGGCACAATAAAATAAACGATAATAAGAATGTCAATAATAATAAGAAGAAACAAAAAAGCACAGAGTTTCACCATTTTGTACCTTCTCCGCGCCCACCCCAAGACTCACCGGAGGAGCGCACCATCATCCAGTCCAGCGACGGGTCGAGAAAGGATCGCTTGAAGAAGGGTGAAGAGTTCAGCGCGGACGAGCAACAGGGCATTGCGAAGAGTTTTCGCTCGCGGACTGCACTGGCAGCACACATTCAAAGCATAGGGTGTGCCACAATGACAGGTAGAGGACCCCCAACAGGTCGTTGGCGTTGGCATCTTGCTTTGCGGTATTTTTTTTGGCTTCTATATCTATATATCAAATTTCCCACACAAGTGGCAGGCCATTAGGAGGCTATCCTGAGTTTCTCAGCACCTTGTAAGGTGAGGTGCTAATGCTTCCACACAAGGAGTGGCTTCTTTGTCTCCAGCCATGCCGCTGTGGGAGTCCTCCATGCCCTACATCCTCGTGCTTGTGCTCTTTTTTTGGGGGGAACGTCGTGAGATCCTAGGGGGTCGCCCAACTTGTTGGGAAACTCGTCCAGAGATTCTGGGCTTTTCCTGGCATGGCCGATTTCAGGTATACCATGTTCAAGGAGGACCACCAAGGCCAAGGGCAGATGTGTGTGGTTTCTTGACTGTTGCATCCATGGGACCTCCGCAGGGATCCTGGATCGCTTCACCCATGCGGATTGGTCCACTTCGGAGGTGCTTCCTACAGCTGGGCACATGTGGCAAGAAGAAAAGCAGCAGATTTGATGGATAGCTGTCAAACATGTATATGACCTCACCATGGAATCAAACATGTCCACACCCCACGAAGACAGAGCACTAGGCGCTTTTGAAAGAGTATGGCCAGATTCTGATGGATGACTATGACCCTTGGCTACGGTTCGACTGGGCCGGTCCTCAACTGGGCACCAACTTCATGGCATTTAAGGGTTAGGTGTAATATTAATCAGGTAGAAATAACATATGGAAAATGAAATCCCATCGCTTATTATTACTATATTATGACTCATGACTGAAATTATTATGAGATACATTTTACTAAAATATGAGGGGTTAGTTGATGTAGGTTATGAATGCAATTGAATGATAATGACCATGAATGCTATATTATATGAAAGAAAAGCTTTGAGCTGGCTGACACCAGATGGGCGGCCAAAGGAAGGCTTCACTGAACAGCGGACTGTGACTAAGCATGATGAAGGATTCTTTTGGTCAAATCAACACGAGAGACTCATCCCTCGAAAGCACGAAACTGCTGCTTTCATCTACTTTTCCCCGTTGCAAGGCCCTTTGTCCTGATTTGAGGCACGCTTTTTCACCAAGGCCAACAGTTACTACATGCTCGAAGCGTTGAACGCAGAGATGAAAGGTGACAGGCCCATTGACGGGTCTTGTGCCTGTGGTGCTTGTAGGCTTAGAGCGAATTCCAAGCAAGTCTTGAAGACTTCAGCATTTGCAGCCCCAGGCCGCTGATGCAGAAGTTGGTGCGCCAGGGGCAGCATCTGGGGCCGAACTAGTGCAGGGATCGTTCTGAAGTAGAACTGCGAGAACTCTTTAGGTTTAGGACTTTCTCGTCGACCTCTAGCTTGTGATAGGGAGCAGGTGGGCGCGAACATGACATCCAAATCTTACCACCCAGCCTGGACCGCGACAGGGGTTTCCGAACTGAAGAATCCAATTGGACCAGTCATTAGGCCAAGAATGAGAAAACATCTTACATGCAAATCTGTACTTCCTTGCTGCTTCCTGCATTGGAAAGCCGCCAAGGATTCTCTCGCAGATCCATCAGCTGGCTGCGCCCATGAAGCGGCCGCCGCGGGACTTGGTGCCACGCTTCTTTGAGCGTTTTGAACCTTGGCGAAGCTCCTCGGGGTCTTTGGGCTTCACTGGGTGCAAGTAGCGGATGAGTCAGATAAAGTTGCCAGCTCGAAGCAACCACTGTCCTTTCATGATCTTTCATGTGTTTTTCTGACACCGGGGACCTGAAGCACTTATATTCCACTCGGTTCCGGGTGCCTTCTAAAATGACATGACTGTGTCAACTTGGTCTTGGAGTCTTGGAGTATTCTGTGCCTCGATGCGTTTGCACGCACCAGGACCACGAGGCCTCACGTGCCGCCTTCGAAGAAGGGGTAATGGGCTCAGTAGGCGTTGGCGACCCACAAGCTAGTATGTGAGATGCGGAGGTGTTTCAGATGTCGTTGAGGTCCGGCACTTCGAGAAGAACCTCGTGCAGCGAGCCGTGGACAAGAGAAACGAGGAGGCCCCAGAGAAACATGTGGTTTGAATTGGTATTTTTTTGTACAAGTGGCTGGTCATACGCCATGCGCTCATTTTTCCTTTAAACACCTTCAGACCTGCCCCCATGCCATCATCGCTTGGCGCTTCCAGGCCGCCAAGGAGAAGGAAGCGGCGGCGACGCAGGGGTACGAAGCGAAGCCGCTGGTCGAGGCCATGTACGACCTGAGCAAGGACAGCGATTCTCTATGCGATCTTTTCAGAAAGGATGGGTCTTCCGGATGCAGTTGGAAGGGGCAGTTCTGCAGTGGGAACAGATGTAGTTGAAACCATCCACCTGCTGAACTGCGTCATGCTAGGTTCTTGATGTTGGTGTGAAGAGGATGATGAATGACGAAGAAGGGCCCCAAAGGTGACAAGCCATTTCTTCAGCCAGGAGGAGCGGATCAAGATGTCTCCAGGGAACCTTGATCCGGTGGAAGTCTTTGAAAGTTTGCCCGAAAAGCTGCAGCAATGTTTCAAGACAGGTGCGGCTTCGGCACGATCGAAAGGCGAGTCGAGGAACTTCTGCGGGAACCTGCATGTTGAGGTTGCTTGCCCTTCTGTGACTGACCTCGCGTTGTGGGACAGCTTGGACCTGGAACACCGGCAGGGGGTGCGGAGACAAGTTCAACTGGACAATTATGTGATGGGCATGATTCATGGTATGTCGAACAGCTTGGCAGCCACGAATGTGGATTACTTCTCGCTCACTGCCAGACTTTCTATTGTATTATAGGCTACAGGGCATAGGGGTCCCGCTCACTGTGTGGGCAACCTCCCTGTGTGAAAGGGCAACATGGGTCACGCGATGCCTTGTGGGGCTCGAAGAGGGGGGTCGTCATCTACCTTCAGCTGCACTCCTTAAATCCAAACCACTACCCCGCCGGCGTTCCTGGCGCCCTCACGAGAGCATCAAGTAAAACAACCTTCACATCTGCGTTCACAACCAGCAGCATCGTAAAGTTCCCGTGGTTGCAATACAATTTGACCCACTTAAAGGACCCGGCCTTAGCACAATCAAATGGCAGGTCCACTGAGGTTTGAGAGACACCCATAGGAAAACGCTTTGCTCATCTAACGAACGGGAGATCAATGAAGAAAGGGTCGACTGGTGGTGGGCCATCACTGTTCTTTCTTTCACTGGTGCGACACATGAGAAACACGGATGTGACAGATGCTACGACGAAGGCTGCTGCACATTGCATTCGTTCAAGAGAGGCCTTGCTCAACCATGTATTTCTCACTCGCCTTCTTGGAAGATCTTGGAAGGGTGGGGTATGCTTGAAGGGTGCAGGTCCAAGAGCTTGCGGTGGGCAGGTGACATTGAGCTCTTGAAACAGGTGGCGGAGGAGATGCCGGAGGAGGACGGGGTGCTTTTCCTTTTTTGGTAGTAGCCCAGCTTGACCTGCAAACCGGAGGTGTTATTGAAAAGAACGTGCTTGATCCCAAAGGAGGTTGATCTCTCTCTCTCTCTCTCTCTTTTTTCTCTCGGCTCGCCCGGAGTCTTATTCCGAGGGTTCCTTTCGAGTCTTTTGGAGGAGTTTGAGGAGCACTTTCAACGAACCATCGACTCCGGGCTGTGGCGTCCAGGGTGATGCCGACTTCCGCCTTGTCACGGCTGTCGCGGCCGCTGTGTGGCGGATGGGCGAAGTGGGTTTGGAGGTGGAACGGAGGTGGAACATGTGGAACCTTGTGGTGAAGCAGAGAAATCGTGACGGCTCAGGGCTTTGATGAAAATCCACCTCTTCCACTTCCATGTTTGATTTTGGGAGGCTAATGACTCCTGCTGAAGCAAGCAGCTTAGTAACCCTGCCAGGCTACTGCTAGGCAAGCTGGGCAGCATTGTCTTTCTGTCTTAGGGGAATCCTGGCGGTGCTGAAACGGGGCACGTGCCGGGCTTGTCCCACTCGGCGGCGCAAAAGAGCTCTGCATGCCGGGTGTGTAGGCCTGAAGCCTGGAGGGAAGCAACCCTCCATCGGTGAAAAAAAACACAAGGTCGCTTGGGCCAAGCACCATTGTGCTCCTTGTTTGAGAAGAAAGAAACTGCATGAAACTACGAAACGTGCGGGTGAACAGCCTGTGTTGACTTGGATCCTGCGGCTCCAGCGCCCAGCATGGCCGCTCCGCCACAGAAGAAGGCGAAGACGTCAGCTGACGCGCTCGGGCCCACGTTGAGAGGAACAGCCACTGGCGCAGTGCATGGTGATGCGCTCGCTCTGGATGAGGGGGACGTACCTGCGTGGGCCTTCTCCTCTCTACAGGAGCTGGTGAAAAAGTGCACATCCCTACTCTAGAGAACTCTACCAAAAGTACGCCCTTTGACCCTTTGGAACTCCTGACTTTGACAAGTTGTAACTTCATCGATGTTCCTCTTTGACATGTGGGGCGTGCAGGACGTGGCACCGCCACTAAGTGTGAGCACGACTTTCACGAATCAAGAAAGTGGAGAGGGCCACGCCACTGGTAGCAGATGGGCGGGGTTCAAACTAAAAACATCGGGCGGTTGAAGAGATAATGCTTTTGCCCTTCACAGCTCTCAGAACTCATCTTGTCTCATCTCCACTTGTGTAGTGTAGTATGTGTAGTCTGACAGGTAAGAAGGGAGTGAAAGGAAGTCAAGTAAAGTTTGGTCGTCGACCTGGGCCCATTTCCGCCAAAAAGAGGAAGGTTTCGAGAGCCCCCCAGCCTGTGTCCCAGGTCTACAGTCGCATCACTTGCCCCACACGCAGCCGCTGCGAGCTTCTTCTGGGAACCTTGGAAGGGACGGAGGAGCAATTCCTGTTCGTTGAACCGTTTGAACCAATGCCTGAGGACAAACTAAAAAAGGTGGAGAGGCCTCTGGTCTGTTTGTGATTTGGGGGGTGAGGACTTGAAGGTCCTGACGCACGTCCGACAAAGCAGTGTGGTGCTTGGGGAGACTTGTTCTTCCGTTTTGAAGACTTTGTGACCCAACCTGCTCGGGACCTTGAAGCGTTTCCTCGGCAGTGGAAGTAGAAGTGGTCACTTGGGTGGACCAACAACAGTCTGGTTGTTGTTTTTGTAAATGCATGTAAATGCTTTTATTTGTTGAATTGGAAGGCCAAACTGGTCAGGAGCAGCCTGCGCATTGCGTCCTTTACAGTTCTGGATTAGCGGCCGCCTTCGCTCTGTTCTCCCACTTTCTGCCGAAGCGTGTCTTTATTTCGGGTGAGCATGTCGAAAATGCTGCATGGCTTGCTCGATCGGGTGTTCGCCGCACAAATCACTTGTGTCATTTCTTGGCTTTGATCAAGGCAGTAGGGCGTCACCATTGGTAAATTGATCTTTGTTGAGCCGGTTTCCCCTACTTCCTTGGCCATGCCTACAGAAGTCTAGAGCACCAAGCCAGAGTCAGAGGGGCCATGGGTCCAGCTTCATCTAGAATCCAGCCCCTTCAGGTGGCTACCATGGAACACACCAAGTCCTCGCACAGCTTCAAAAGATCTCTGATGGAGCGCGCTTCAAGAAGGAGACCCTGCAGAGTGTAACAGAGCAGCTTGTTACAACTTTGGCGTCCGGATGTGATCACAGTACTTGGAATGTAATCGGCACACCTAATTTCCATGTCTTGAGCTCCTGCAGAGGAGTTGAAACAAGCTGGAATGCTGGAACAGGTGTCATGTCAGGCCATCTTCCCATCCCAGGTTACACAACGCAATCTAGTTGCCATGAGGATTGGTGGCAGTCTTCAATCTGGTGATTTGATTTGGTTGGAGACGCCGCTGAACCCAACTTGCCAAGTGGCAGACATCAAAGCCTATGTCGCCGTGGCAAAGACTGTGCCGGGTGTTCGTGTGGTGGTTGATGGCACGCTGCTCGCCGGAGCCGGGAACAGGGCCAGGGCCAGAGCTAGAGCACAGTACCTGACCAAGGTGGCACCTAACTAAAGTGGTGCAAACCAGCATCATCACACCCAACATCCACCGACCCCCCCTCTGTTGCAGCTTCTCCCAGGTTTGCGCCTCCCCCCCTTCAGCGACCACTGCTGCTGGGCGCTGATGCGGTGATGCACGCGACCACCAAGGCGCTGGCTGGGCACTCGGACGCCCTGGGCGGCGCCCTGTGCGTGCGCTGCGCTGCGGAGGCGCAGCAGCTGCGGCAGGATCGCATGGCCCTGGGCTCGACACCTGGGAGTTTGGAGGTGAGGGGGTTTGGAGACATCACGTGAGGATCGGATGAGTGGAGATGTTTTCTAGGGCCTTAGCCCATCTGTAATTAGGGCCATGCTTTTTGGAGGAATGATGCTTGTCGATCGGCCCAGGCTGGTCGAAGAAAACTTCCTGAAGGACATGCCAATTCCTGCAGCACCTAGATAAATCCCGTGTCCCAGGCCCATATCGTTCCTGCGGCAGAAGACCAAGCGGCCTCGAACAGTTTTGTGATGCTCTCGAGTAGCTCATTGGGGGGGTCTCAAGCTACAGCCGCAGATCTCTTTGTGCCTTACTTTGCTATGGCACTGTCGGGGGGCAAGGCTCTTGAGTTCTTCTTTTCTTTGTTCTGACAGGTCTGGCTCTTGATGCGCTCCCTTCGGACGCTTCATCTCCGCGTGGAGCGGCAGTCCGAGACCGCTACACGACTGGCGCAGTGGTTGCAGCGCGCCACTGACGAAACTAGGCTGGGGAAGTGGGGAGGAAAACGGGGGAGGTGCGATATTTTTCGGGCACGCATGCCCAAAAGAAGTGCCTTTAATATGGGACCTTATGGGGTTCGGCTTTGTGCGTCAACTCTCAGAAAGGCTGATGTTGCTTCTTAATGCTTTCCTTACTGACATTGTGCTGTTGTAATTGTTGGACTGACATTATGTCGTCTTGTTGTCATTGTTGGCATCGTTTTCTTCGTTTTGGCAATGTCATTGTGAGGCTGTGTTATCAGGCCTCAACTCATAATGTTCAACTTGTGCTGGCTTCTGGAGTGCGAAGTGCCTAGCAAGTATATATGGAATTGCTCAAATGCAAAAGGCTTTGTTTGCCGAACCCTGTCAATCGTGTCACGATGTTGCTGCTTGCTGCAACCTAAGGATTCTTCGCATGCAGCTTGCATTGCAAATGAGCCTCTTCCGGAAGCTTCTGCCTCTCCAAATGCCACACATTCTTGTTTGGAAGCGGGAGTCCATGAACAATGGTTTTCGTGGTCCCGGTCCCACTCATCCAGGAATTGTATCCAAGAGGTTGGTTGCAAACCACGACCCCTAGGATTGTCAAGGCATGCTGACAGCTGAACAATGGTTTGGATATGTTTGGATGTTGTTCCTCACACCAGCCCCACAACGGTTAGCGCTCAACCCCTTCACATCTTCCAGTTCGGAGCTTTCACTAGTTCTCATTTATATATCCCTTCGAATCTCATATGGTCCTGGGCTATCTGAGCTTCTGAGATCCTTTCTTCTTTCCTCGCCCCTCCCAGGTCTTATCCGGCTGCATCCATGCCGTGCACCACCCGTCGCTGACGCTCGAACCGCTGGCGACGCAGATGCGCGGGGGTGGCGGGTGCCTGGCGCTGGAGCTCAGCAGCGAAGAAGCGGCCAAGGCGCTGCCGGAAGAGCTGCGGCTCTTCCGGGCTGCGACGTCCTTGGGAGGCGTGGAGGCTTGAAGGCGCTTCATCGCTAGAGCCGCTAGTAGGTTGGAGGCCATCGCTATTAGGGTGGAGGCCGTCGTGTTTAGGGTGGAGGCCATCGCTACTATTAGGGTGGAGGCCATCGCTACT